AATTACTTCTGGGACACTTCTGTAGTACACATCACTGTGGTATCAGAGTAACCAAGAAACATTATTTTCCAGACACAACATCACTTGCAGGAAGGATAATACAATTACACCTGTCTGAGATACAAGGAGCTTAATGCCAGAATGTTCAAACATCTATTAGCTCAGGGTGATACCACTTGACGTGCCTATGGTCCAGATTTTCAGTGTATTTAGCATTTCATAAAATTTTCTCTGTTCAAAGAGCAGCTCTAGCAGATTTTCTCTGTGGTTCCCTTTTCTGTTCTGCTCTTTTTGCACTTCTGCTCCTTTTACTCCTATTTTAATGCTGTCAGCACCTCTCTGCTTCTTGGCCCCTCTCATTTCAGTTTGTCCTTTTCTCCTTCCCACCCACACACTGCGGCTTGCTTACTAGTAAGAAGATGATGAACATACTATCAAAATTACTTTTGGCTAGAGAAAAAGCATCAATGAACTTTTGCTGATCTCCATGAGAGCTGCTCAACCTATGCCTCTTACAGAGGTATAATAGACACTGCAGTCTGGCCCCGAGGGTGAGTAAACACTGAGTATTTTAATGCTGGACAGCACCCGACCTTGGACAGCACCTGGGTCCCATTGGTAGTGTGTCCCTTTCTCAACCTTTACCATTTTCAGGTCAAATTATTTACGAATTTGGTGGGCGCCGTTACAACATATCAAAACGATGTGTATTAAGAGTGCCACTGACCTGACTGGGGCATGACCTCAGGGAGGTTTGGAAAATATAATTTCCTGACCTAATGTCCTAGGATTGAGCAGGTTGAACAGGACCTAAATGATGGATTCTGCCACACTCCTCAGTGAGAGTGGATTTGGATGACTTTGACCCTTGTGCAGTGTCTAGGCACTATCTCAGAAATCATTTGCTGGTATGAACCAAAATCATGCCAGAGAGTATGGAAAATAGTGGATGAAAACAGAAGGAAAGAATTGAATCCACATTTTTTTGTTTTTTTTTCACAGTATGGGTGTACTTTTACAGTTTGATTAGAACACAAGTTGGGAGACAGAGCACAGAAAGAAGAGAATTTTCTGAAAGCTTTATATATCTATATTCTCATTGTTTTACCAGAATAAAAAAAGGTTTCTGGCACCCCAGTTCAGTGTATCAATTTCATTCATCAGTCATTTTAAATTTTTATTAGTTGCTTATGAGATTTTCTTAACAAGAACACAAAAATATTATAGGAAGGAATTGAACTTCTGTTTGAATATAAAGTAAAGAGTAAAAATATAGCCCAAAAGTTCTGATCAGTTTTACAGAGTAGTAGAAAATGCCAGGCAGCCATATTTGTTCATGAAATTATAAACTTTATGGCAGATTATGCTTAAGCTTGGTTTTTGCATGGTTTACAATTTTGTGGAAAGCAGAGTAATACAAATAATGCCTGTCTTGCTTTGATATAAATAATGAACTCTTTCTTGGGGTATTGTTCCTGATTTGATGGTATTAAGAAGGATATTCATATTTTTATTCATAAAATACACTGTTGATTTATTATTAAGAATAAGTAATATGTAGAGCATAAATTACTTCAGATAAGAGATAAGAAAGTAAAACAAAAAATTGGTTTTATATTTTACTGAAAATACAACCAGTTACTAGCACCTTTAACTTTATATCTAGTTTAGTAGGTCATTATTTCCTCCTACGTGTATTTCAACATTAAATGTATAGGTAGATGGCCTAATATGTGAAAGTAAGGAGATTCTGCAAAGAAAATGTTAGGACCTCAGAGGTTCATTTAAGAAAATAATAAAGGAGGTACTTTCACAGAACTAAAATATAAAGTTACATCTTAGCAGAATGGTAAAGGCAGACAATGTATTGATTTAATACTTTTATTTTTAACAGACAGAAGATTTGGGTTTTTTAGATATGCTAGACACAAAAATAATGCAAAACAACTTTATAGAGTAGTGCAGACAACTATGACAAAGGAAGAGATTCAAAGTCATGAACACAGTCAAATCAAGTAAGAGTCATTAATCCCTAATGTAGTCTATTGTGTAACCTGTTTATTCATTAATGAAGCAATTGCAAATGTTGACTCAGGTTTATTTTCTTGTCATGATTTGCTGGGAGAAAAGGGCTGAAAGAAAAGACTAGAACAGAGCCGTTTAAAGCTGTGTCTACAATCTCTGTGTGGTTTTGGCCATGTTCCAGATACTTTAAAGAAATCTCAGAGCAATCTCTTTCTCTTTTCTCTT